AGAAGATTGCATAGCCCATATTTTATTAATCTATGTACTTATTTATTTAATATGGCCATTTACTTAGCAATAACCAAGTCTCTACGATGAACTTAAAGTTTTAATACCACACAAAAACTGTCTACATTCCATTTATTAAGAAATGTATACTTTTCTTATATCATAAAAAAAAAATTGAAATAATACATATTATAAAATAAAGAGACACAATTGCAAGTTGCAGCATCTCATCATATTTATTTATCTCTTATCTCGTTCTCATCGAGATCTGCTATTAAAGCTCTTTTTGCCCACAAAAAGTTTAATAAGTTATAATAAGACTAATTTAAGTTTGTTAATATTTACTTAAAATTGGTCAAGTTGTGAAAATTTAAATGATATAGACGTAGCTATGGACATATTTAATGGGGAAATTAATGAGGATATTCCCAAATCCACTAATATGTATATAATAAAATTATCAAATCAGAAATTAAAAGGTTGGATATCAAGCGGTCAGGTTAACTCTATTTTAACTAAGTGAACATTTGAAAACAGATTAGATAATCCCATTTTGATTTATCATTAATTAAAAATGGTATAATTGTGTTAAGAATATCTTATACCCACATAGTTTTGGTTAGAAATACTATATCAAACTAGTAGAAGATAATTCTAACTTTATACGGTTAAACAGTTGTACTTAACAATGAAAAGTATAAAAGTTGTAGGTATTTAATTTATCATGCGATGTTATTCTCTACTGCCGTTTACTAAAAGAATATAATATTATGTAACAGGTTAGACTATAATCTAATTAAAATATATTGATAAAATAATAATATGTACTTTGCGTTTATTACAATGCCCATAGAAGCATTAACTGTTAGCATAATTTTTCCAGTAGACCAACATGCTTCATTTACATCATAATGTAGAACACTATCTATTGGTCGTCAATATCATCAGATCCACCAATTTTTTAACCTAAAATTATGATATTTGGCATATTTTATAATAGGCTTTTTAGAAAACTTTTGGTGAAAATTAAAATTTGTTATCTCAAGCCGTTTAGGACTTACAAAGTGTCCCGTAATTATCAAATACTTATTTATTATTTAAGTAGTTCAACCAGAAATAAAAACAAATCCTTTTTTAATAATTAGTTAAAATGTATATAACTTTTACTTAAATTTTAGAATGAAATTGCCTAAAACAAATTCTATTTCTTCAAATCATTAAAAACCAGATAAATCAGCATCGAGTATATCAAGAATTGATTTTTAATTCAATTTATGCATTTTTATAAATTTATAATGTAAAACGAGATAACTGTAGTCATAGTAGCAACACAAATTTATAATAATAGTACGCATCACGATTTAAGATAATATGGTTGCCCAACGGTCTATGTTAAGCCCATTGTCGCATTGACCGCGAAACTGTCTATAATATGGCCGACATGGACAAAAGTACAACAGCGCTCCTAGCCGTAAAAGTTGCAGTCCAAAATAATGATAACCCAAATAACCGCCAAAATATAAATATTTAAATAATGAAGTTGTTTTTTTAGATGAGCCCACGATTTAAGATAAATGATAAAACTTAAAATCGTGAACTGTACTTTATTAATAATTACGTATATATAATATACACAACGTATAGTTAGTTTATAAATATTAACACTTAACATTATATATCATTATTACGTGTTGTGTATTGATGTGTTTGTCAAAAAGGACAAAAAGTACTTTTAGTGTACCCCAAGATAATAATCTTTTAAAAATTTGGGAAGAAAATTTAGGGGTAAATTTAAAAAGAAACTCTAGAGTTTGCGAGTTACATTTTAAGTCCGACGATATAACTACACAATGGGTATCAGGACATGGCTTTAGTAAATACACTGTGCGTTACTGAAATTTCAATATAATTAATAAATTAATTACAAAATTTCACTAGTTATTTAAGTATTTACTAATTGCACTTATTTTTAGGTTTGTTTAAAAAAACCTAGGTTAAAAATAGGAGTTTTACCAATAAAAGCCAACCTGGATTGCAGTGCTTTGGCTAATCCTTTAGCCATGCCTCCAACAAAAAAAATTAAGGTTTCAATCAATAATATAAATTTTTAGTGTAACTACAGAATAAATAATTGTAGCCTGCAATATTATGTCTATTAGGTTATAAATGATACTGATATTATTGGACATGATCACTGCTATTTCTCTAAGGAGATAAATGACTTAAAATTGGACACATTTTTTCAACAAGTTTTAAAATACAACAAGTCAATGAAAGTTCCAATAGGATGGTTTGTAGATGTACAAAGTGGTTACTCTAATCAACTGTGTGTTTGTTTTCATAAACTCGGTCCCTTTAAAAAAGACTATACAAGATACATAGAAAAACAACTTGTTTTAACTAGAGGTAAAATAACAATTATATTATCTCCCAAACATGTATTCTTCTTTTTGGCTATAATTTATGTAAATATTTTATCATACTAACTAGTTATAGGTATAATATAAAATAATTTGTTTAATATTATTTCAACTTTAAAGATTTAGCCATAGTTCTTCAAATTAATGGAAAAACTATTAAAATATCAGACATTGATATAGAGTCTAATTTTAAACTTAAGTCCATTGAAGAACTAGAAGATATAATACAATTATTTGACAAAATTAAAGTCTGTCAAGGAATAGATTTAGATAATAAATATAGTTCTATAAAATCAAAATTTGGACCACAATTCATTAATTATTTTGACCAGTGGAGACATGTAAAATGCATAAGTGTACTAAAAACAAATATGAGGTAGGTATAATTAATAACCATTATTCTATATTATCTAATTATAGGTACCCATAACTATATGTTCCATGAGGCAAGAACTATCCAGGAGATATACAAAAGGTTTACTAGTAATTTAAAATTTTATTTTTTAGTGAGTCTTTATGTCTTTGGTGCAAGAGGTTATGGTACATTATCCAAAAAAAAAGGCTAGGCAAAATTCAAAAATATATTTTTCTCCAAATAAGAGAAAACAGTTAATGAAAAATAAAAAACTTAACAATGTTGTAAAAAAGAAGTGTATTAGAGCACACAAAAAAATTACATGGTTGCAAAATAATTTATACAAAATAAAAAATGAAATGAAAAAAATGTCATCAACTGATATTCAGTCCATCATAATAAATTATAACATACCAACATGCCAAGCAGCTTTAATACAAGAAATATTTAATGCCTCTAAGGTAAAAAATTCAAAAAATCGAAGGTATAATGAAAATTGGATGCTCTTGTGTTTGTTGTTTCATATAAGGTATTTTATATATTGGAAGTTAAACCAAAATTCTAAATTTTTATTTGACAATCAATGTTATATTTTTAGATCTCCTAGTGGTTATTCATTTTTAAGAAATAATAACATATTACCATTACCTTGTACTAACACAATAAGAGCACATTTGTTAGCAGTTGAAATAGGATGTGGATTTGACAAAAAAATTTTTAAACTTCTAAAGAAGAAATTCTTAAATAAATCTGAGCAGCAAAAGCAAGGTGTAATTGTGTTAGATGAAGTATTTTTGAGGGAAAGTTTAAGTGTAAATAGCCGAACTTTGACTTATATGGGACTAGAAGATTTTGGTGGTGAAATAAATATTGAGAGTTCCAATAAAGCAAATCATGCATTGGTCTTAATGTGGCAAAGTCTAGCAGAAAATGTAGCACTGCCTATTGCTGTATTTGCCTCACGTGGAACAGTCAAAGGTTAACTATTTATCTATTCTTTATGCTAAATTTAAAATTAAGTTAATAAACTAAATCAATTTTTCTCATTTTCAAAGGAATGCTTTTGAAAAAAAAAGTTATTGGTTGTAGAACTACTGAATATTTTTTTTTATGAAGGTGTTGATTTAGCGAAGCTTATACTAAAAGCTATAATGTTAATGGAGGATTCTGGAGGGCAAGTTATTGGTCTTACATGTGACGGTGCTTCTACGAATAGGACAATGTGGAACCAATTAGGGGTATTATAAAATTAACATTTATATAATGCAATGTACTATATTTTTAATATCACTTTTTATTACTTTTATTTAAAACCATTAGATAAGTGCCAAATCAGAGTCCTTTAAAAACTATTTTGTTAATCCATTTGATAGCACAAGAAAAATATTTGTTTTCTCCGATGCCCCGCATCTTATAAAAACAATTCGAAATCGTATATATGAGAAGAAAACACTAAGAGTATGTAATCATATAATATGTTTCAAAGGTTAAATATATCCATTAATACTGATATTCTTAGATTCACCCTAATAATGCCATTATTAAGTGGGAACACTACCACAGTATTTTTAAAATTGAGGAACATTCACTCCTAAAAGTTTGCCCAAAACTAACAAAAAACCATTTTGAGTTAAATAACTTAAGTAAAATGAAAGTAAAATATGCTGCTCAGGTAATATTGTCTGTTTTGTGTTATATATATATAATACATAGAATATTAATTATATTTCAGTTGTTTAGTATGTCTGTAGCCAATGGAATGGAATTTTATAAAAAGAAAAAGTATGATTGCTTCAATGATGCAGAAGACACCATCAAATTTACCATTGTAGTAAATAATATGTTTGATGCCTTAAACAGAAAATTTCCTGCTGAAGGAATACGAGAGAATAGCAAAGACTTAGAGGTTTTTATTATGTGTTGTGTGTTTCAATTGTCTTTTTGGGAACTGGATGCATGTGTTATACTGGTTTATTTTTAATTGTATAAATATCCATTAAACAATGTTTACTTTATTTATTAAACTTCAGGTGTTAAAACAAACGTTAGAGTGGATTAAGTGTTGGGAATCTAATTTGACAAAGAATTTAATTGAAAAAGATAATTTTTTAACACAAAATACTGCTGATGGTTTAAAAATAACAATAGCCTCAACAATAGATGCAGTTAATTACTTACTTAAAAAGAAACATTTTTCTTATGTACTGACATCAAAATTTAATCAAGATTGTTTGGAAGTAATGTTACTTAATTTTACTAAATTTCACGTTTTAAAATATAGTATCTATGAAATCATTTTAAATTATTACAACAAATAAATAATATTATATTTCAGAAATTTTTCGGAATAGTGAGACAAGTAGCAGCTGGTCCTAATGACCACCCATCATGTCCATCATTTCTTCAATTATACAGAATGCTTTCACTTAACTCTTTAATAAAACCTCCAAAAAGTGGAAACTGTATGATTTTTGAAGGTAATGTAAAATATTGCATGATACTTAAAAGTGAAAAATTAAAAAAATATATATTTTAGATAATACTCCTATTATTACGTTAGAAGATTTGAGAGATGTAAAAAATTTAAATGATAGCTCATCCGTTAGATCTGAAAAAATCGAAAAGCTAAAAGAAAAGCTGAATAACATTTCTGAAGAAGGATGTTGGGATGTAGATGAGATTTTTATAGAGCACAACTATTCTGACTCTTCCGTATTTGATTGCATAGTATATTATTTAGCTGGGTTAGTTTGTAAACATTTTATCATTATAACAAGGAATTAATTAGCCAATTACTTTAAATTGTATTAATTTCATTTCATTTATTTTTTGTAATAGATACATGGCAAAACGCATGACAGTTAAAACTAAATGTCAATTATGTGCTTCTAGTATAAAAACTCTTAACACAGCTGAATATGATACTAATGCTGATTTAATAATTGCAAAAAGTAGAGGATACCTAACACATCCTAATAGTATTATTTATAAAATTATAAAAACTCTGGAGTTGTCAATATCACAATTTATCAATTCTCCAAATGCATTTGAGGAGATTTGCGAGGACTTTTTGAAACAAAAAATTATCTTTGACTTTCCATGTGCAGCACACAAACAAAATGTTTTGACTGATATATGTACACATTATATTATAATGAGAATGCGCCAGTACACATTTATTAATAACCAGAAAAACAAAAAATTAAATAAAACAAAGAAGAAACTGGCTAAATTAGTAAACACTTGATATTATAATAAATTTTAAAAAAATGTGTGTTTGTTATACAAAGAAATGCAAAAATGATATTATTTAACGTTGCAACTAGTATTTGTTATAATAATAATTTATAAACAGGGTTGTATTATTTTATTTTATAAAACAAGACAACAAAATTAATAATGAAAAATTGTTCTTTAGTATTTACACAATTAAAAATTTAGATCCTGAAATATTACCAGATTATCTCTAAAGGACTAAGAACGATGATAATAATTATTTTAAATCGTGATTGTTATACAGGTTGTAGGCGTCAATAAAAAAAAAAGCTAAATATTCTTAAAAGTGGTAATGCTGGTTTTGTGGTTTGTCCGCTAAAAGCGCTAGGAGTGATTTGCACATAGCAATTCTCAGCGAAGACAGTTTGGCGGTCACATTATCAGGGCTCGTTGGGCAACCATATTATCTTAAATCGTGGTACGCATTACACTTTTCGCGCCATTTACCAATGTACAGTTACAACGTCCACACATTACGAACCCCTGATAAAAGGGTTAAGCCCGGTGGAGGTAAAAAACACGTGACATCATATTTGATAAAATATATTTTTCTTCCATGAAAAAATCATGGTAAACAACATTTCTGGCTGTAAAAACATGCGGTATCAACAATAAAAAACACTAAATTTCGATATTTATTTAAACTTTCAATTACTCAAAAACTATAAAAAAAAATTACCTTTAATGAATAAAATATAATGTATAAATGGTAATCTATCGGTGAAACACAATAATAGACTTATGACGTTTTTACACAATAAAAATATATTTATTTAAAATATGCTACAATAATCTCGAAAATCAAGTTTTTTCAGTTGTTTCACTTTTTAAACGGGCGTAAAGGTGTAACAAATTATGTATATGGTAAACTAAAAATCAACTGTCGCCTATCGTACATGGTATATGATATACATAGCACACCTATACTAGTATCGATTCTTCTTCTTCTTCGGGTAAACGGCAGCTAGAACCATCCCGTCAAACACCCCTCCCTCCAACCATCTCTGTCGGATGCTCGGACCTTCCAATCTGATCCTCCACCTAAGGCACTTACATCTTTTTTAACCAGATCTTCCCATCTCATACGAGGCCTTCCCAGTGGTCTCTTCCATACTGGATCTTTTTCTAATACTATACGTAACAAAGGATTCTGACTACGCCAAGCATGCCCAGTCCACTTTAGTCGTTTACTCCTTACTGTCTCCAATATATTCGGCTTTTGGAAAAGTAATTCCAGCTCATTATTCGTTCTTATCCTCCACTCATTGCTATTGCTATCTTTCATCGGTCCATAAGTCTTCCTTAGAACTTTTCTCTCCCATACTATCAGCTTTCTTTCATCTTCTTTTCGTAGTGGCCACGTTTCCGCTCCGTAAGTTATAACTGGACGCAGTAATGTCGTATATAGCTGTATCTTAAGCTCCCTCGATAAAGATCTGGATCCTAGCAGTTTTGCTAGTCCATAGTAAGCTCTATTGCCGGCAAGTATCCTTGCTGAAATTTCCTTGACTATCTCATTCTTTTCAGTTATAACTGACCCTAAGTATTTAAACTGCTTGGCTCTGCTGAAAACATAGTTCCTTACATTCAAGGATAAGTACACACCCGCAGTGTCTCGTCTGCCAACGACCATGTACTCCGTTTTGGTTTCGTTTATCTGTAGTCCTACTTTCGATGCCATTCTTTGTAGACGGTCGAACAGTGATTTCAGTGCGTTCGGTGATTCTTCCATTAATACCAAATCGTCCGCGTACGCCAATAGGCCTATTGAGGAGTCCTGCAGTTTCACTCCTTCGTCGGGTAGTATCGATTATAATACCATTTTTATCTTAGCCAAGTTGGTTTGGTTTGTTCTGGCCCGGACATCTTAAAACATTTTTAATCCTGTCCGGGTTTTAATAACATAATTTTGACCCGGGCTTGGTTGGTCCGAGTTACAAAATAATATTTTACATGTCGGTCCGGTCCGGATAAGTAGTATTTTTCTATTTCATGGTACGGTCCGGACCAATTTTATTAGGACCGGACAGACTGCTACTGAGTACCACTTCCCAAAAAATGCAAGCATAAAATATGTACTTGTTGAATGGGGGATAATACATGATTTCTCTTTGTATGATGAACTGTACGGCTGACAATGTACTCCAACTTAACCGAGTTCAATCTGAACTGTGCGTTGTATTCATATCGAGCAATACAATTATTAATAATTCTTAAACGGAACATTATTTTTCGGCGAATGATAAAATTTTCACCGTCGCTGTCTAAACTTAAAAACGAGGATGACCACATTTTAAAAAAATTCTTAGTGTTTAAGAATAAATATAAAATAATATTAATAACAATTGTCACTTAAAAAACTATACTCCCAGAGACTAGTCAAATTGTTATCATATTTTCAATATATTTTAAAAATCATTGTTGTTTATGAAACGAAAAACAAGTTTTTTTACAATATTTTCCAGAATTTTTTTTAACTTGTCACTTGTATATTATATGAAACATAAATTTAACAAGTGAATAAAATTTACTAGTTTACCTATGGTCAAATTCGACTATTATGAAAGAGTAGAGACTCCTCGAGGACACACCTACAAATGCCCAAAGATTACCCTAAAAAGTCCCTTTGATATCGGAAAAACGACTCCTGATAATAATAACGCAAAAATAAAATTCTATAAAACCCATATTCTTTTCTGTAAAATTCGTTTTTTGACGTTTCTATTAGAATTACCACTAGAGATTTTTATATCATTATTTAATATTGACTATTTCTAAATTATGTTATTAATATTATAGTTTTGTACAATTGTAAAATTGTGAAATACAATACTTATTCAGAATACTAGTTGTGAAATAACGTTTGTCGAATCATGACAGTTGGGACGGTGCCAAATATTGCGTCCATTACGGTTAGGTACTTGTTTTGTGTGTCATTGCCACAATATTATAAGATGTTATTATTAGGTATACCGTATACAATGACATTATTGTTATTATGTTATTATCTTACCGCAATACAATGCGTAAAACCGCAAAAGGTTCGGACGTAAACGATTTTTGAGACGAGACCCCGAACAAAAGGTATCGATATAATAAAAAGACATATCCATGTCAATATAAGACGGGATGATAATAATATTATAATTCTATTATCGAACGTTGTTTATTGTTGCTGAGATCCTAAGCGGTTACATGGGCCCGTTCACTTACCGTGTAAACAAACGACACAACAGATGTTGTAGAGGAGATTTTGGATTATTTTTTAGGGGAGAGGACACTTCTTCTTTTAGAGCCGCGGTCGTGCACATTATTATAATGGACATGATAATATTATTTCGTAGGGACCGTTAAACCGCATTCGATTATGTCACCGCAACAAGTGAACGCCAACATCTGGGCGGTTCGGATGACCGATATCGGATAATAATATCTCGTCATCAATAACAGCTAATTTAATATTGTGTAATAAAAAAAATTATCCATCAGGACATATTTGCACATACTTTAGCCGCACCTGGACAGGTCGATAGATTTAGTTGTAAGACGGTGTGTAGCCATACGAATAAATAAATAACAAATAATCTGATGATGAAAATTCGACAAAATGGTCTACGTTTAACATTTAAGTATTAAATAAGAGACGTTGCTTTTGACGGCTTGTGTGGTGAAATTTACATCATAAATTACGGATTATTCAGCAATTAAAACAATTTTACAAAAAATAACACCATATCTGTTAAATAGGATGTAATAGTATTGTCACACAAATTAGTACAACATAGTGTACGTATGAACTTAGTCACTACAATAATTAATTAATATATTATGTTATATATATATATATATTGCATGTTTATATCATGTGAAAATAAGAGTTTTGAATTATGAATTTAAAAAGAATTCTAATAAAAATATTCATTTAATATTTATAAAAAACGAAAGTAAATTTTATTTACCAATAATTATCGTTGTCGTCATATGAACTATTTGTTTTATTGTCATTATAAATGTATCGTAAAAAGATGTACTATTTAAGAAAATATAATATATATTTTCAATATTTTAACACAGTTTATTTTTATATTGTTTGAATTATGCCGTTTGCGGTTTGCCGGAACCAGGTTCTAAGATAACCGTTAATTCTGATAAACGTTAGTTGTATTTTAGTTACTTTTATTCTGATAGGATTGGCAGACTGATAGAATGTGATTTTATATTTTGTAGTTTCGGAGTTGGTCACGCTGATAAAATACAAATTTGTGTTATCATTTGGAAGAACTCTTAGCTTTATAATTTTTTGGATGAACGTATAGTTGCTTCTCTCTAAGGGGAAAACTAACGATTCCTTTATTTTGCATTAAATATTTTTTTTCTTATTTTTAAGAGTAAAGGAGGAAAGAAATAAAAAAATAAACTATTTAAATAAACTCTTAACCACAAAAAGAATACTCTATAGCGTACATATGTACTTCGCCATTTCGGTAACAATGCTATGGTTAGTATCCACTAAATACTCCGCATCTGGAGATTTGTGTACTTTTTGGTTTTTTATGTTCCTCATGTGTTTTTTAAATCTAATAATGTCTTAACTACATAGCTGTCAACACATTCATCACGTTGTATTTTATAAATCTCCGACTTTTCCTCTTCCCCTATTTTATCTTTGGTGCTACCTAAAAAATAGTATACTAATTGTACTCGCTTTTTGAAATCTACACCGGTGTACGTTGATGCTATAATATTTTGTTATTTTAAATATTTAAATGTTGGTCTTCATATGATAATTATTATTTAAATCGTCATCTTTAGCATATCTGAGCTCCGTAGTCTGTATAAATAATTTTGTATTTATTTTTGATGGTGTTGAGACCTGTTCACCTAACTACAACACCACTCTTCCGACCATTATGATATGTTGATTATGAACACCATGTTGTTGGTATCTTCAAACCCGCCATACACAGCTAATATATTTATCTTTCTTATTATTCTAATATCCTTCTTATCGTACTAATTTTTTAACTGTACAAATTATATATTTTTTCTATGATTTATTGTGAAATATTGTAATTTATAAGCTCTGAATTGTTTAGTTAAACTTAATAGCATTCGAATACACTGACACTGACAGCTATCGCTTGCAATCGCACTAATTGGCAATCCTGAAGTAAGGTAAATAAACCTGTCTAAACAAATCTTTGATTCCAGGTACTCTAAATATAACTTAAGAACAGCAGATTACGATATCGCGTGGTTGGGCTACTGGCCAACACGTGAGGCTACAAAATGTTGTAAAGATAATAATAATAACAAACGATAGTTGGGGGTTTATTATAATGTTTTTTTAACTAGAATAATTAAAACATTTTACATACAAAAATAATTAATTTATAGAAGGAAGTCTTTAAAACGTTGGACCTATTATAGTAAATAATTCTGAGTTTTGCTAAGTATTTCCATTGAAAGCAATGATTTATTATTGCTTAGTCCAAAGAGCCAAGCAACGGCAGACAAACTACCATCTAAGTATCCTTGTTTTTCTAAAAAAATATACTACATTGCTTATTTAAGTATTTTTGTCTACCAGGTGTCAACTTTTTTATCTAATTCTGATAGAAAAATAGAAGAATGTTTGTCAGCACAAATCCTGAAGATGCCCAAAAATTTTATAATGATATTTTTAAACAAAACATTGGAATCAAACAATAATTTTGAAGATGAAAATGGTGTTTTATTATATCATTAATGATCGATAAGTTAAATATGATCTCATGAAGAAGCATTAATGTTTCTACAGTTCTTAATATTTTACCAGGTTATTGTAATTATTACCAATTAATAGTTCGTGTCAATATATTTTGCTAAGTTATCAATTTAAATACATAGTGAATGGTGTTCAACTTAAAAATAATACTACAATCCTCCTGCCCTAAACATGACACTTCAATAACATTAAAAATAGCTATCCAAAACTGGATATCGACCAGTCAATATTTTTAGTTCATTATTTTCAATTTAAATAGTTAATGAAATCTATGCGTTACCATTTAAGTTTCAAAAGTTGCTATTAAAACAACTATGTTGGGAAGAGGTGAAAACAAAAAAAAAAATCGTAAAAATTGTGTAAAAAACTATGAAAAGAAAAAATTTAATTTCTTGAAATAAATATTTATTTTCCATACATTACATTTATTTTTTAATTTATTATTACTTAAAGATTAAGTAAATATAAACAAATTAATAAAATGTATTGTAATATTTTTCAAATCAATGAAAATGATGTGTTATGAAAAAAAATGTTTTTTAAAAAAACTATTACTTTTTTTTTTAGACGTATGAAGTCCGGAAATCACACGTTTTGCACCAAATCGAAACATGTAAACCTCTAAAATGTGATAAATATGATGTTATATTTTATGAGCGCTTTTCATTTCTGAACTCGTATCAACCCAACTCTGTCCCTAATGTTTACGGTTCTCACATGGACTTCATATTTTCCAATTAGAATTTAATCGGTCGTTACCTTATCAGATTTATTTGGTACCATTAGACTCTTACAATCCGGCATTGTTAACTCAATTACAGTGTAAAATAAACCCATCAACACGTCTGTCCTTCGTCGTAGTACTATATATCTTTAATTACGGTAATCATAAACAAATGTCACACTATTTAGGTTCTAACGATTGTTCGAGTTTGTGTGACATTAATATTGCGCTTGATTTTAAGTATCATAAATATTATAAGTATAAAATAAGTAAGCGACAGTAAGTGAAGATAAATAATGTTGTTTTCTCTTATGTTACCACCTTGCAATGTTCGATCGGTAGTTGCTTCTGATCCTGGAATTGATATCTGGTCCAGCGACGCCAAATAGTTATTTTGTGTGTATCCAAACTGATGCAACATTTAAAATTAGTTAACCCAGAAACATGTTACACGGACTTTTATAATAACATTTTTTAAAAATTCACTTTTAAAAGTGTTTTAACTTCGATAAGGAACTGAGAATGTGTGCATCACCTTTTTCAAATCACTTTTACCAAAAAGTAAATTTTAATTATTTTGTTTGATTAAAATTATATAGCTTAACAAATTGTACTACCGAAAATCGTAGTATCATTGTCTGTGTTTATCTGATATTTACTAATCTATTAGAATCAGATAATAAGTCGAAAGTTAAAATAAAAATACTTCAAATGCTTACCAAACAATACGCATGGATTTGCCAGAATCCATCGTAACAGAGACCTAATAAATGTACAAGTTTAGGCAAACGAATTGTTTAATTGTAATGGTAGAAATTCAGTTAATATGCAATAAAAAAATAATTGGAAAAAACATATATTTTTAAGGTTTGGTACACATATGATATTACAAAAACAAATGTATAAAAAAAAAACAACATTTGAAAGTGGAAAATATGTGTTAATATATTTGTATAATCATTCACGTTCTTACAAATAAGTGCAAACAAAAAAACAAATACTAATACTTTAAAAAAAAATTCACAAAAACTTTATGTTAAGTCCATATGCAGAAAATGATTAAAAAACCTTTAAATTTTATATACTTTAAATGCATTTTGTTATTTCTTATGCTGTAAATTTAATTTTTTAAATAAAATGATAAAATAAAACAAGAAAAGTAGATAAATTGTAGTAACGTTTAAATTTAGTTAATTTTCATTTAATAAAGATTGTTTATTGATACTGAGGTGATATAATATCACGGCACGTCGTGACCTACAGTCCATTTATATATGATTATTATTATATTATGTGTAATAATTGAACCAGTTGGTCAAATATCCATTTTTATTCCATTTACCGGTGACTTTTATGCATAGTCGCATTGAGTGGAATAGACTCATATATTTAAAAAATATATACACTAAGAAGGGGATCAGTATGTACAGCTTTGTTAACATGGGTAGCACAAAATAAAAAATGGCTGTTAGTGTCGTTTTCAAATTGTTCCATGCGCACATTGCGTCGATTTCAAAGTTGCTTGGTTTGTATACCTCCATAAGTTGGCTATCAATCATCCATATTACTACAAACAATCGTTATCGTTAAAAGCGTTAAATATTATTATATTAAATTCTATGAGCCCCGATCGATTCGAGGTTCAACTATAGCGTGTCGTCGTTCAAGATGCAACAGCAGCTCATATCTGATTTCAAGTTGGCCACACTGTTTTTTTTCAATTTACGAGGGAAATCCACGGCTTATTTTATACCTGTACACTTAAAAAAGGTTAATACTAAAATCAATGTAGTGGATTTTTCTATACATGAGTTGTGTATAAATATAATTTTAGGTTAAATGACAAGATAGTGGACTCTATGAGAAAATGTTTTTTTACTTTAAGACGTGTCCACTGTGCTTTAATCTACTCTGCAGGCAATCGACTGACGGGCTCGGAATTATCATAAAGACAATAGATGACGCTATAATCGAATAATCATCATAACGTCATAGAATGGTAATATTGGTAATTGAAACGGACTTTTTTTTAATCTCCTGTCAAGTTTGGAAAAATGAGCTATGAGGTTGCATCTTAAGCGACGGTATCTCTAGACGGATGTCGTTATTTTAATAATTTTTTTTACGAAAGACGACGATGGTAGTTATAATTCATGACCATCAAGATAAGCTGCTGATTATTTAATGTATTTTTTGTTTTTCATGACTAATGTGCTTACTCAGTAGTTCCAAAAAAGTCCAAAGGTGGCGGTAACTGAATTTGAACCCTACTGCCATGAGGATGCTGATGTAAAACAAGTAGAATAAAATGTTTATATGTCCCATTTTGATCGATCGCACGTAAGCTGAAAGACGAAAAGACCTATTAAATCTAATTAAGCAAAAATAAATAAATGACAAATGTATTTTTTATTATTAAGTATAGGTGACTTTCGTGTACATAATTAGTAGTCAATTTGGTTGCAAATATAGGTACATCATATTATGTGTTTAGACAAAAGTAGGTACAGGTATATACCGGGGGATTATTTTAACGCCCTACAAAATGTTTAGCAAGTTATTTTTTAATTAAAAAGTTAATAGAACATATACGTTACCATTAAGTTTCAAAAGTTGTTATAAAAATAATTAGTTTGAGAAGGGGTTAAAAACCTAAAAACTCGTTGTTTCAAAAGATGATAAGACTCGAGAAAAAACATAAAAATTTGAATATGGTCAAATATTGTAATACAGCATGAACAAACATGTTTTGAAAAACGACAACATATCAATTATTTTAAGTGAAAACTGGTGTAGTGCGTTAAGAAATCACAGGGTATTGTTTGGAAAGAGAGTGTTACATATTTTGGAAGTTAAATTTTTTTCCTACTATAGTTATCCTACTATAGTTATCCTACTATGTCCCTATTATAACATGTGCTATATTTACTAGGTAGGAAGCAGGAAAACAGACTTCCGGCCAAGTAAACTAAATTTCGATTTTTTCATGACTGGTTTGATATGTCGAATGATTTTATTTGTTGACAACGATGTATAATAAATATATTACATTATGGTGCTTAGTTAGTTCCTATATTATATCACGTAATTTAAGCTTATGTAGAAACATTTTTTTTTTTTTCCTAGCTACCATTTACACCGAGTTTACGAAGGGTTTTTGTTGGGATATCAGTATTTTTTTTTTTTTATATTATAATATAAAAATAAAGTAATAACCGTCAGTATTATTATTAGCAATTTATACACAAAGACAACACACCACAAGGTACAGCACAATACACAACAAACAGCTGTAGACATAACAATGGTGGGGACTCCCCCGATCCGACCCCTCACCATCGTGCACAACGTCTGGCACCGCGCGGTCATCATAATAATTTTTTTACTAAAACATGTATCTGGAAACCTCAGAAATGTTGTACTACTTTTTTGCTTGTAACTAAGAAAGTATTCAACCAATCGATAAGTTAGTTTGTTCGATCCGATCTACACGACTTTCCCAATCTATTGATATCTCGTATGTGCATTTCTGTCCAGCCCTTAGCCCACAAATTCATTCCGAAATTTATGGTAAAATTTACACGCGTTTAATGGGATTGCGGTGTTTTGTGTATAGTATACACGCCCCGGTAAGCTTCGCGCCACTACCGTGTCGCTGGATTAAGTAAAAAAATACGTCTAACGCCGCTCACGACTATTCGGTTGAAATATTTTGTTAAAATAACAACGATAAAACAATACTCACTCGGATAAGTTGAACGATTAGGCCTTGAACAATTTTCTTTGAGTTTTTTCTGGACGATCGATGCCGGCCGAAGGACGTCTTATTCGTGTAAGGGTAGCTGCAAAACTGCTAGAGCGGCATATCCAGGGTAAACTACACATCCAGCGTTTTGTCCAGGCGTCGAAAGCGACGGTAGCGCTGTGCGTCATCAAAACATAAATCAATTCAGATGGGTCAAAGTTATTTCGACATTATTTCAAACGATCAATAGTATTTTTGCGGGCTGAGGCGTATAATATTTCACCGTGCTAATTACATTATCACTTTCTGCAATCATCCGGTTCTTTCTTTGCCAATTTATTCGCACAACCTAAATTATGTCGTTCATACATTTCGCCTCTTAGCATTTTATACTATTTACATGGTTCCTTGTAACATTCCTACACTATACATGTTCTAACGTTTAGTTTTCCTTATAATAATATTATACTATAAAGCTGAACTCGACCGATAACTGTTATCTGAGTAGAATGTTCCACAAAACCAAACGCTTGGATTATTGCGTAGGAACAATCTTGAAAAGTTTAAATGATAAAATATACACGAATAGTTTGTGCTCACTTGTGGGTCATCACCATAATAGTTATACATTTCCAAGTGTATGATAATATAATAAATATTTACAAAGTATAAAAATAAAACAGAAGCTAACACGTATGCAATGATTTATTCAGTTTTTATATGTTTCGATATTAATTTTTGGACACTTCAGTATGAATCGTAAAAACACATTTAATTCTAGCTTAAAAGTTAAGAAGGTAGGTTTCACAATAGTTTATTATGTATGTTGTTATTCCTGATATTATTTTTTTGTACTACAATCTTAGCAAATTTCTATAAACGACATTATTCACAATTATTTATTTTTATTAATTAAACGTTTTTATTTAACCAAAAAAATAGATACTATTTGTACACTTTATTTCTAATTGTTCCAAAAAATAATTTTTACTACTAATCAGTGAAGTAGTAAATTATTAAAAAAAAAAAAACTTACAATATTTAGGTTTTTTTAAGAGTTGTTGCAATATGTGGACAACGCGAATATCATAATTTGTAAAAATAAATCAACAAAACAAAAACATATTTCTATTATGATTTAATGATATTTTTTATGATTATCTACATGTTTTTACATGCTTTTCTTTAGTTCGCTAACACGTACGTACGTTTGTACGGGTATTTTTCAAATCTTGCAAAATTAATTTTACCCACTTTCCGATGTTGTAGAGGGCTAAAACTTAGCTCAGACACTCATCTTGGATGACAATACAATATCACGTAATCACATTGGGACTCGGACATCTAGGTCGCCTTACACAGGGTCAAATGTGGGGGTCATTACACTAAAATTTCATGTTTTTCCAAATCTTCCAAAATTAATTTAGTAATGTATTCAGCAATCATTAAATACCTTTAATAGGACTAAAAACTAAAAATATAAATTTAAAAAAAACTTTTTTAAAAACATGCTTTCCTAAAAAAAAAAATAGTAAAAAGTAAACTAAAAAGTAAAAAATTATTTTATTACAAGAACAATTTACCATTCAATTGTAGCATATTTTATTTAAAATGTCAATTACTTTGAAAACAACCGAAAATTAACTACAATTTTAAATAATAAGCATCTTTAATTTTTGACTAAAAAGATTTACATTAAAAAGCGTGGGCCCTATTCAACAAAGTCCCTGATAAATTTATCAGATAATGTTTTATATTGTAAGTTTTTTTGTAATTTAAATTTTATTATTTATTTTGTTTTGACCACTAAGTTCATTAAATAATTTTGTCCGGCTTTTTCATATAAATACTTTCTCATATGCGCTGTTTGTATTGTAGTATTTTCATAATATTTTTAGCTTCGATGCAAAGCGAGAAGGTATTGGTTTTACTCTGATGTGGGCTTTTTTTTTCGCTGTATACACTGTAACTTTTTTAATACTAGACCAATTCCTTTGAATAGCAACTCTATAAATCACAAATTTTGTCTAGTTTGTACTTTGGGGGGGTAAAAGTTGAAAAAGTTTAAGTCTTCATAGACGAAAGTTGAAAAAACAAAAAAAAAACCGTACGAGTTTTTAAGTTAGAACTTTTACTGGCTATAGTATCGAGAAAAAGAGTCGGATCGAGTTGAAATGTATAAGAAATATTTATTTGTTATGCCCGCGCACGTCAGTTTTGTCAAATTCAAAATATACCCATTTCCCGCCCCCCTAGGGGGGGTACAAGTTTTTTTGTTTTTCGGGGTTTTTAGCCGTAATTTTAAAACTTTTGAGTTGAAAATTTGCCAGTAGTTGGAACTCATATGTATCCATAACATATTAAGCGGGTGAAAAATTCGGCACTACAGTTTTTTTTTAATTGCCGGAAAACCGTGTTTTCGCACATTGCGTATATTTTAACAAAAACACCTAAAATCTTTAAAAAAAATTGATCAAATCATTAAAACAATTTTATTTATATCTATACAGAATGATACTATTAGGTTTTGTGCTCAAGTACCACTCTTGACTTAAAGTTTACATAAAGTTTAATTTTTTTTTTTTTTTTTTTTTTTTTTTTAACTAAAAACCCAGTGTACCAGATGTGAGAAACGAACAGACACTAAAAACTATCAGTTGGTAACGTCTATCCGTGTTAGATTAGTTTAGGGCCCAATGATCGGTATCATAATATTGTGTTTATTACATGATATCACAGGCGACTAAATCGTGTAACTGATTATAGTAGACACTCGATTTATTGTGAAAAAAACCTGGTCGTGTACTTATTAAGACACTTAATGATTCTGATACGACAAAACCACTGTCGTTATCTCGTTATTTTATAGCCTGCGTTATATAACCTTACCGAAGGTTAACTATGAGTATTTAATGTCCAACTACCTGCAAATAATGAAGAGGAGTGTTGTTTTTTGGATTCAGATTAAGTGTTGGTTTTTATGCAGTATACCGACTCAAAATGTTTTTTTTATTACACAATTTTTTTAAAGGAAAACTAATGTTTTGTATATTGTTATACTGTTATTCATTTAAAGAGATTCACGCTTGATTGTTTAAATTGTCTAATATTAGATAATCTGCTTCGTGCTAATTTTATTTTTTTAGTTTATCAACTTGTAGCTCTAATTTTGTAAAAAATATTTCATTATTTTATTACTATGTACTATTACTTTTAAGATAAATTTTAATAATAATTAAGTCATAAATGATAATACTTTATTTTATGACTAGATCAAATCTTGTAAACATTTAACATCATGATACTGCTCCTATGCTATCATTAAAAAAACACAATTTTTAAAAACTCCATTAAAGGTTATTGTTAAATAACAGGCAACAGCCGACTGCTAGTGGCTATACACGTTAGTAATATTTAACCAATAAGTAATAAATGTAGGTAAAATTTATTGTTTTCTCCATCACAGTACCAGTATACGATTTATTTTAATTTAAATGTAAGAAAATCGATTTTTCTTTAGAAAATAACAAGAAATTAATATACAGGATGAGGCAGTAAAACGGCGATTTTCTAATGTATTTAAATGGTAAAACCCGTTTCACTAACCCACCCTTTACATTTTAAGGATCTATGAAAAGGTTTTTTTAGTTGCATTTTATTTTGTACATTGTCAATCTAGTAAAATAGAAGTATAATATAGCTTTGAAATAATATAATCTGTGAAGTATAAATAGTTTGTGTGAGATTGCTATAATGGAAGTATATAATACATAAATATTAATTTTATTGAGAATAAGCGATTATAATTTAAACTATGGAGTACAAACGATTGAAACATGAATCGTCGACCATTCCAACAAAATATAACAAGACATTGTATTTGTGTTATTTGGTCCACTAAGTTTTTGCAAAAAAAAAAAAAACCAGTACAGTGGGGTCGGTGCATAGTGGGGACGGAGCATAGTTGGGTCGGGGCATAGTGGTGACGGGGAGGTCACAGGTTTACAGGAATTTTTAAATCTGAAAGTGATAAAATCACTTTCGAAAAAACGCTTCGATGCAAATCGGTAGTTAGTATTTTCAAGCCAGTACAGTCCAAACCAAGCACAGTATAAACCAGCAAAGTTAGAAAGTTTTAAATGAAGGTTCTGTATTTACAAATGAGCATCAAAGCGTTTATTTGAAAGCGATTTTATTCAATTTTATCACTTTTACTTATAATAATTCTTGTAGACCTGTGACCTCTCCGTTTCCTCATTGCTTTGATTACATTATGCCAATACTCTACTGTACTAGTCCTCTCGGATAAAATCACTTTCAAATAAACGCTTTGATGCTCATTTGTAAATACAGAACCTTCATTTAAAACTTTCTAACTTTGCTGGTTTATACTGTGCTTGGTTTGGACTGTACTGGCTTGAAAATACTAACTACCGATTTGCATCGAAGCGTTTTTTCGAAAGTGATTTTATCACTTTCAGATTTAAAAATTCCTGTAAACCTGTGACCTCCCCGTCACCACTATGCCCCGACCCAACTATGCTCCGTCCCCACTATGCACCGACCCCACTGTACTGGTTTTTTTAGGTTATATCTATATCTTTGAAATTACTAAAAATATTAGTGTTTGTAATAATTATCCATAATTTATCAAATTACTTAAGATGGATATTTGATTTGATGTAATATAACCAAAATCCGAATCATTCGTTTTTCAACTTTGACCAAAAAAAAACTTCAGTTTCAGTTCTTTAATCTTAAAACTGCGCCAAAATAATTTAAAAACACTTTCAACCTTTCTCCCGGGGGAGGGAGATTATTAAAATATTTTCGAACACATACAATTTCGTTACGAATTAGTACATTATTTTTTAACTACCATCAATAAATATTCATTAATCTAGTATTAAGTTTTAAGCAGAAAAACACTCCGATCTAAAGACAAAATATTAAACAAAATTGTCAATGTTTGAATTTCATTTTTTTGTGCACTTCATTTTTAGTAAAATATTCTTAGTTGAAAAGAGTTAATAAAATATCCACGTCACCATTTAAAAGTTTATATAAAAATAGTTAGTTTGGGTGGAGTTAAAACATAAAAACTTGTGAGATATTGAGATCACATTGTTTAAAAGCATTATACAAAAAAAAAATTCAATTACTAATTAAATCCTTTGAGATTCAATAGCGGCTCACGATGAAAAATCACACTGTATAATATCTATAATAAAAACGCATGAAAATAATAGGATAACATAAGAAAATATAATTTTCACAGGACATAAGACGGCAAAAGTTTTTCTTTGTACATCTAATTACATATTTTAGTTTGAGGTAATTGCGTTTGATATATTTCAAGATTAAGTCAATATAACAACGTGACATTATGACACGAATGGTAAATTTAACAAAGGAACGGATTATTCATGTGCACAATGTTAAAAATAATCACAATTACAATATTATAAACAAATAGTTCCAATTAACTTACAGACGTTAAACCATTATAATTTTATTTATTTATTAAATCTATGGAAAAAATTACATTGAATAACTTTGAGGAACGCTATAATATAAAATGTACGTATACTCTGTACACCTTATATATTATGAGTGATAGTTACAAAGATTACCGCAAATACCAAAATTGTTGGTAATTACCTTATTTCCGATACATACCTATTTTCGGTAAATAGTGTATTTTTGGTAAATAGTGTATTTTTGGTAAATACCGTAATTACCGGTAATATTTAAATACCGTAATACCGGTATTCAAATATCAAATACCGCCAGCACTACTCTATAGCAGCAACTTATTCACCTAAAATTACCTTAATTTATAGAATTAATAATATATTTAACATTTTGACTAATTGTGTTCGAAAAATATAAAAAAATATTTCAAATATTGGACAATAATTTCATGAAATGCTAATAAAAGTTGTTTATTTCTAACAAAATGTTTTATCAAAAAAAAAATATACATTTAAACGAACGTTATTAAAATAAGAACAAGTTTAAACTAAATGTTTTAAAATTACCTACACTCCTTAAGCACGGTTAAATACACATAGGTAAGATCATCGTTAAAAGGAGTCTGATAACTATCGTTATACAATAATTTAATTATGATCCTTACTAATAATTTAATAAATTATTAGTATTCACCTGACGACATACGACCAATATTAGAGCTGCATATAATATAAGGGTGGTTGGGAAGTGTTATGTTAGGTTATGATGAGCAGGTATTAACAACATGCTGACTATCGCACGGACGTTTATTAACTGACTGGACTATGATAACAACACATCTCTCTTATTTACAAATAATAATTCATATACATAATAATAATAATATAAAACATTGACAATAAGAACTTCTACAACATATTCTAATAACATAATAATAATAATATAAAACATTGACAATAAGAACTTCTACAACATATTCTAATAACATAATAATAATAATATAAAACATTAACAATAAATTATTAAATGTGTCTAATGTGAAACGAGTTTCTTCTATATATAACACCACTGATCTCAACCAAATACGACCTAGGTGCTCTTAGTTTTTTAATTATTTTACCTTTAATCCAAATTGATTTTTTTATGTCTTTAACTAAAACTAACTCTCCCTCTCTGAAGTCTTTTCTAACTTTTGCATTCATATCATAATACTTTTTACTCCTTTCTTGATTTCTTTTATTTTCCTCGCTTATATTTATAATTTTTGGACACAATTTAATCTTTTTTATTGGTAGTTTAGTGTTTAACATTTTTGACATGGCAAGTTGTGCCGGTGAGCTATTTAAACTTGTTATAATTGAATTTCTATAATTTAATAGATATAATCGTATATCTTTTTTTTCTAAAGTACATTTTTTTATCATTTTTTTAGCTATACCAACAAATTTTTCCGCTAAGCCGTTACTTTTTGGATAATAAGGACTTGATGTGGTTATTGTAAAATTTAATTCATTAGCGAACTTTTGAAACTCAAAGCTATTAAAAGGCACATTGTCTGCAATTAAAGTTTCAGGTATTCCAAACCTACTGAATACCTCCATACACTTATCTATTATTGATGAACAATTTATTTTCCTAATCTCAAATATTTCAAGCCATCTCGAGTAATAATCAACTAAGATAAGATATTTCTTTCCCAGCACATCAGCTATGTCTGCTCCTAATTTAAGAAAAGGTATGTCGGGAATTTCATGAGAAATCAATGGCTCTTTCGTATTATTTGTTTGATATTTCTGACACACTTCACAATTGTTAATTTTGTTCTCTATATCTGAGTTTATACCTGGCCAATATACATGATGTTTAGCCTTTGCCCTCGTTTTTACTATACCTAAATGAGTTTCGTGGAGAATTGACATTATTTCTGGTCTTAGTTGCTTTGGTATTAGCAGTCTGTTTTCCCAATAGATTAAATTATCATCAACTGTTATGTTATTTCTTAATTTATAATAATGTAATAATTCCATATTTTCTATAGACTTTACTATATTTTTAGGCCAGCCTTCTTTATAATACTTTAATATTTTATTTAATGAAAAATCATTATTGACACTAGCTTTATATCTATCTAATTTTTCCTCACTAAACTTAATTTCACCAACTTTTATTGTGTGTACCACATCATTCATACTTATATCATCTATTATACTATCTTTACATAAATAATTACGACTCAATAAATCTGCTATGTACATGTGTTTACCAGGCAAATATACAAGTTCAAATTTATACAAAAGTAACTTCATTTTCAACCTTTTTATTCTATTGTTTTGTATTTTGTCCATATTCTTCTTAATAATACTGATTAACGGTTGATGATCTGTATAAATAATTATACTCTCATTTCCATAAATATAGTTATGAAGTTTTTGACATGTATATGATATTGCTAATAATTCCTTCTCAATTTGAGCATACCCTTTCTCTGTTTCTGTTAACGATCTGGACAAGAAACATACCGGTTTTTTATTTTGCAGTAAGCATGATCCTATCGCATCTTGTGAAGCATCACACTGTATCTCTATTTTTTCATTAGGATCAAAGTTAACTAAAGTTACTGCGTTACACATTAACCTTTTCACTTCTTTAAGCACATCCGAATGTTTTTCATTCCAGCACCAAATTCTATCTTTTTTTAGTAATTCTCTTAAAGCTGACGTTATTTGTGACATATTCGGAATAAAATCTCTCAAATAATTTATCATTCCTAATATTTTCTGTAATTCAGTTTTATTTGTTGGATCTTTCAAATCATTAATTGCTTCCACTCTACTTGGATCAGGCCTCATTCCACTTTCATTAAATAAAAATCCTAAGAACTTTACTTCATTCATTTCATACTGTATTTTTTCTTTATTAAATTTAATATTATTTTCTCTCGCTACTTGTATAACCTGTTCTAGTATAGCGTCATGCTCCTCTTTTGTATTCGCACTTATCAAGATGTCATCAAAATAAATAACTATATTTTTAATTCTAGAAAAATATTTATTTAACAAACTTAAAAATATTTCTGGAGCTACATTTAACCCAAATGGTAGTCTCAGAAACCTATATGTACCAAATGGTGTACAGAAGCTACATAATTTACTAGATTCTTTATCTAACGCTATCTGCCAAAACCCATCTTTTAAATCTATTACAGTGAAATATTTTTTTCCTTTTAGTTTAGGTATTATTTCTTTTAGAGTTGGAATTGGATATTTAACTATTTTGAGTGATTTATTCAGATCCTGAGGATCCAAACATATACGCAATTTTTTATTTGGCTTTTCTATTATTACTATATTAGATAACCAGTCGACTGGTTCATTAACCAATTCTATTACATTAATTTGTTCTAAGTGTTCTAATGTCTCTTTTAATCTGTTTCTTATTGATAGTGGCACTCGTCTAGCTGTATTTATTATTGGACTTATTTTATCTTTTAGAATCAACTTACATTTTTCAGGGAATAAACCTAACCCCGAAAATACATCTTTATTCTTTTCCATAAATTTATTTTCTTTGTTTATCAATGTTATTCTTTTAACCAATTCTAATTTTTCACACATTTCTGAACCTAAAATAGTCTCAATTTTCTTTTCTCGCTCATCGTGAATTATTATATCATTAACAACTATAAAATTTCCTTTTACTGTTTTTCCATTCTTAATCTGACACTCTACCCATACTGTTCCCAATGGTTTTATTAAAAAACCTCCAAACGTTTCTATTTTAATATTACATTTGTTTATTATAGGCTTTGGATTTAATTTGTTATACATATTATACGGTAATATGCTTACCTCCGCACCTGTGTCCAACCTCACTTCAACATTAAGATTATTAATTTTTATTACTTGTAACCACTTTTTGTCATCGATTTTATTTTTTACCCTGTCTTTATTAATACTATTTACAGTTAAGTACTCTTCTTCACTACTCATTTCTTGTACTTTATCTAAATTTTCTGTTTCTATTAAATCCATTACTCTCACATTACCCTTTTTATTTTTACACCCTACTGAAAAATGATTAATTTTTGAGCACTTATTGCACTTTTTACCATAAGCAGGACAATTTTTTGGCCCATGTTCACGATTACATTTTTTACATAAATATTTGACATTGCTTTTATTTTTATAATTAATATTACTATTAAAATTTACATAATCTCTGTTATTTCTACTAAATTGTTTACCTTTACCGTTGTTTTGTTGCCATTGATAGTTTGATTTCACTCTGTATACTGACATGTTCCCATTGGCTGTTACTGTTGTTGTTTCAATTTCTTGTCTGCTTTTTTCCGATAACTCGATTGATTGACAAAATTGAACAGTTTTCTCCAAATCCATATTATTCTCCAAAAGTTTTTGTTGTGTTTCTTTGTTTTGTATTCCCAAAACTATTTGAGTGCACATTAATTGATTCTCTGCATCTTTGAACTCGCAATTTTTTACCAGTTCCTTGAGATCCGTGTAAAATTTGTCAAATGGTTCCGCTGTGACTTGTTTCCGTTGGAAGAATTTGAATTGCGACATAACCAAATTCCTTTTTGGTATACACCGTGATTTTAGAGCATCCAATATCGCACTTACTGTTTGTTCTTCTATGGAGTCTTTTATTTGGAAGTAAATCTTCCTAGCTTCAGCTCCCATTATATTTAAAAGTCTGGCAACTTGAATTTCTTTCGATTTTTTGTACGTTTCATTGGCCGTGAAGTAAATGTCGACTTCTTGACGAAACAATTCAAAGTTTGATTCGACATTACCGTTTAGATTTAGTTTTTCCGGTTTTTCGTACTCTGCCATTTAATTTTAATTTTATATAGTGTTTTAATTACGCACTACACACAATACCGTCTGCGCCATGTTATGTTAGGTTATGATGAGCAGGTATGAACAACATGCTGACTATCGCACGGACGTTTATTAACTGACTGGACTATGATAACAACACAGGAAGTATTGGTGCAGACTTGTTGGGTTAGTGACCGCTTGCACAGCAGTATCATCAAAATGGAAATGACCAAATCCTTTAAAATTGGCTATGCCCAAAGATATAACGCAAAATGTAAGGTGTACAAAAAGGTAATAGAAATTATTTAAACATGAATAAAATAAAAGTGTTCACCCCACCCTCAGAATGCTTTCCTCAGTATAGTTAATATAACAAAATGCTATTGACGCTATACTCGAGAACTTGCTAAGTGAGGAATGAAAGTTTGACTATTCGCATAATATATTAGAACACGGTTACGTGGAATCCACGAACACCGTTAAAATATTCTTTTGACTCAGATGACATTTTTGTTCATAGGAATAATAAGATTAAAATGTTACTTACGAAGTCGTCCGAACAGGAATTATGCAAAGATAGGATATTGGTTAATACTGATTGATAAGAATGAACAATAAAATTGTAAGTATCAAGCACGGTTAAATACTGAAGTATCGAACACCGTTAAAATACAATCTTATTTTATTAGTTCAAAAGATGATTTTAATAAATGAATTAATAAGGTATTTCTGCAACATTTCTCCATGCTACCCATAAAGCCATCCCAAGAGGTACTATCCATTTTTTACTGCTCAAGTGTTTATTTTAATCGTAAGATACTTATTTATATTGCACATATGGTATTAAAGCATTATATAACAATGAACCTTGGTAAATTGATAAATATTAAAAACTTTGGGATTTAAGGTTGATACTATGTGCACACCATCTAGTGTTTACATTTCTTCAAACGTCCCTGGTCGGCGGTACGGCAGAACTGGCCGGCAGCTGGTGAATTACACGTAGACAATTGAAGGGCACAAGGGAAAAACAGTAGAAGTCACATTATGAAATTGTTTTCAATATATCCCAATAATTTTTTTTATTTATGTTAATAGATTGTTTAAATAAATACATTTATTATTATAGTAGCATTTAATGTGATTTTTTTGTTCTTATGTAAGAGATAGAGGAATTTACTAACTTTTTTTTTGCTATATTCTATAATTTTTATAAAGTGACAAATACCGTTTTTCCCCTGTGCCATTCAATTGAAACATGTAACGTTTCACAGTACATCTAATAACAATCTTCACTTAGGTTTTGCTAAGCGAAGAGTGATCACCCGGGCCAAGCCCAAGAGAGGGCGACCCAACATAACAATTTGTTTATAATAATAAATAATAGAAATAAATATATTAAACTAACACTTTAACCGTTGACCATTTGGCCGTATTACTGTTGGCTGGCACATACACCTTCACCAGTAACTACTTGATTATTGCATACTGAACAAGTTTTTTTTTTACATGCTCAAAAATATTACGGCCACATACATAGTCAGAGCACAATGTGTATTTGTTGTCAACAAAAACTTTTTATCGTTTTAACAAGTTGGTTTTAAACCTTTCCCTCTTCTTAAAAAAAAAACCAACACGTTCATCAAACACGTAATATATATTGTAATAGGCTCGTCAATTATACAGACCAAGAAATTCAAGGTGTATTACCAAATATCGAATATTTTATTCTAATCGAGTTTACCAAATACGTTTTTTTATAGGTTCATAATAAGCAGGACCGTTAATCGGCGCTTTATAATATACCGATTGCCGCATAACAATAATTGTGTACAATCACAAAAGTAACAGACTTGGCCCGTCATCGACAGTTTAAAATTAATACCGACAACTCGAATTACCAAACATCTGAATATTTTATTCTAGACGACAATGCAAAAAAATTGAATTTTCATCAAAACTCAAACGCAACAACGCCGATGGCGAGGGACAGAGAAATGACTCGTCACTCAATTCGAGAGAATGATAAGTGACCGCTGGCGAATATGTTATCAACTTTTTTTTCTCGACAACAGGGGTTCTCCAACTACCGCCGCCGTTGGAGTTGGGGGTAGTTCTTTCAAAAAATGATAACACGTGATAAGAAATAAATGTTACATAACCTATAAAATGTGTAACACTATAGTTAGTACCAATATCGATTTTACCAAAAACCCGCCAAAAGAAATTTCGTATTTTAATATCAAAATCATTGCCTTTAGTTAGGTTCTAATCTTTATTACAAATTGTAGCTAGATCTTTATCAATTCTCTAATTAATCGTGTATTCACTATACAACGTAAAATTATATAATGCAAAATTCATAATAAATTACATTATATTAGTGTATATACATAACTTATAAGTATATGTTATAATTTTATATTATTTGGTATAAAATAATAATAATTTTATTGAAATTTCCCACAAATTGTTTATATAACTATTTAAATAAAACTTTACTTTTTACCTAAATTAGTTGACAGATTTCAAAATTTGGCTGTCAAGTATAAATTAGTTTTACCACATCTTACATTTGTATTCTGTAGTTAAAGAATACAGGTAGGAATTTATGAGCTTTGTCTTCAATCTTGTCTTTTAGAAGATATATTATTTGTAGTAGCACTGTTGTACTATCATTAAACTTATTATCAGTATTGTGATACAATTCATTCCCTAGACTTTTAGTGTACATGTGTGTTCAATGTCAGTCACGTTGTTATTATTACTTAATAATTAAATCATGTTCTTGAATACAAATTAAATGTGTTTTAATTAATTAATAAATTGATACAAATACAAATATACAACATTATTAACAAATTTTGGTACCTAAAAGATATATTAAAGCAAGGAAAACGGAACATATGACACTTGTAGTTTAAATACCTCACATAAATAACTAGAATAAAACATATTTAATTTTCAAGTTTCTACACAAAATCAATATATACATTATAAACTTACAGTCCAAAGTGAACCTATTGCCGGATAAAGACTTGTGGTGAGAAAAAAAATTGTTGTACGGCCCTTTTGCATGGGATAATAGGTAGATAATAAGAATATTGCATAATATAAAATTATTGTAAACTAGATTAAAAAATTCTGTTATATTAATACAAATGATCAAACTAGGGTCATAATCGTATAAACGTTATACTTAATAAATATATAATGTAATTTAATGCAATCTTGCTTTTACGTTGGTGAGATTATCAAAACAGACTAATTGTCTTACCGAACTTAAAAAAAAAGGAAAACTAACTAAATAGTATCCCGTATCATACAAATTATACATATATAATAATAAAATAATTAATAACGAATTATCAAAAATAATATTCAATACCAAATAATGTATTTTAAATATCTGACGGAAAAAGCTCGCAGAAAATTAGACAAAGAATCGGGCAAGGAAAGGCAGCTTTTATCAAGAAAAAGAAAATTTTGGTTTCGAAAAAAATTAGCAGAGAAATTAAGAAGACATTTTTAAAAACGTTTGTATGGAGTGTAGCTTTATACGGCTGCGAGACATGGGTCATTAATGAAAAGGAAAAAAGATCCCTTGAAGCATTCGAAATGTGGTGTTGGAGACGTATGGAGAAAATAAACTGCACAGAAAGAGTAACAAATGAAGATGTACTGACCCAAGTTGGAGAAACAAGATCCATAAATAAAGCCATAAAGCGACGACGATGGGACATGATGGGACACGTTTTACGTAACGACGAAGAATTGCATCATACTATAATAGAAGGTGCAACTGAAGGACGAAAACCACCAGGAAGACCAAGAAACTCGTACATATCTCAACTGAAAAATGACGCAGGGATTGATACTTACGCCGGATTAAAAAGACTTGCTGAAGATCGTGATAAATGGAGAGCGAAGATAAAAACGTTGTAAACCAACCTAATATAGGTTAAAAAAAAAAAAAAATGTCTGTATTAAAATACCTTGCAGGACTGAATGTTATTTATAATCTATTAGTAGGTTTTTAAAATAATTATTATTCACTTAATATTTTACAGAAATTAGTTTATATTAAGCTACTCTGGGTATATATTTTTTTTAAAGAAACCAAACTAAACAATGTGAATTTGTTCAGTAAAAGTTATTCATATGATTTAAAAATATGATTCAATTTTTGGTCAATATAAATTTGCAAATTTACAATTATCTCTTGATTTGAAAATGTCCATATTTGTTAGAAGATTGCATAGCCCACATTTTATTAATCTATGTACTTATTTATTTAATATGGCCATTTACTTAGCGATAACCAAGTCTCTACGATGAACTTAAAGTTTTAATACCACACAAAAACTGTCTACATTCCATTTATTAAGAAATGTATACTTTTCTTATATTATAAAAAAAAATTGAAATAATACATATTATAAAATAAAGAGACACAATTGCAAGTTGCAGCATCTCATCATATTTATTTATCTCTTATCTCGTTCTCATCGAGATCTGCTATTAAAGCTCTTTTTGCCCACAAAAAGTTTAATAAGTTATAATGAGACTAATTTAAGTTTGTTAATATTTACTTAAGATTGGTCAAGTTGTGAAAATTTAAATGATACAGACGTAGCTATGGACATATTTAATGGGGAAATTAATGAGGCTATTCCCAAATCCACTAATATGTATAAAATAAAATTATCAAATCAGAAATTAAAAGGTTGGATATCAAGCGGTCAGGTTAACTCTATTTTAACTAAGTGAACATTTGAAAACAGATTAGATAATCCCATTTTAATTTATCATTAATTAAAAATGGTATAATTGTGTTAAGAATATCTTATACCCACATAGTTTTGGTTAGAAATACTATATCAAACTAGTAGAAGATAATTCTAACTTTATACGGTTAAACAGTTGTACTTAACAATGAAAAGTATAAAAGTTGTAGGTATTTAATTTATCATGCGATGTTATTCTCTACTGCCGTTTACTAAAAGAATATAATATTATGTAACAGGTTAGACTATAATCTAATTAAAATATATTAATAAAATAATAATATGTACTTTGCGTTTATTACAATGCCCATAGAAGCATTAACTGTTAGCATAATTATT